ACCTCTGGACGATGCGAGTGAGTAACCTACTCGAGATCCCATCAGATATTTAGCTTCAGTAACTCAGATGCGTGTTGAAACGGCTACCTCAGCCACCCTGGTTTGCTCTATGGGATTCCTTTGATATTCCTGTAAGATTTCTATGATATTGCTCTACCTTTTACCCTGTTTCTGCCCTACCCCTGTCATCAATAAAGTTCTCCTTTGTGACCGGTGTGGGAGACTTATTGAGGGGTGGGTCTGAATTATGCCAAGGAGGCCCCTTAGGTCTGTGGACTAAGGGAGGCTTCCCTAATCAGCCCCTGACTTGGGGAAGTGCCCCAAGTGCCTGTATTGGGTCTAGGACCCCTTGGACGATCAGGCCTGTGTTTTCCAAGGTGCACAGAGCCAGAAGTGAGTCCAGAGCCTTGGATGGTGGCAGCGGGACCCCCAGGCTAGCGGGTGTGCTCCAGGGAAGGGGTCGGCCGACGGGAGGCACCTCAGGGAGGCACTCGGAGCCTGGAAGGTGGTCGGGCGCAGGGAGGTGGGCGGCTCAATGCAGGAGCGCCCCCTACTGGCCCGCCACAGGGGCAAGCAAAGACCCTGCCTTTGGTTGCCAGGCCTTTGCTCTGGTTTCCCGTGCAGACAGGCCCTGGGCTCGGATTCTCCCTTTCCAGCTGAGTCACTTGATTCAGTTTCCAACCCCAGGCGAGGCGCTTGACCTCTCAGTATCCCAGTCAATCCTCAGTTGAAAAATTGGATTAGAGCATCCTAACAAAGTAGCTGGGTCGCTGCTGAAAGCCAGAAGCTGCAGTGAAACACAGGACAAAACGCTACCGGGGGGAAAGCACAACTGCAAAACTCCGCTGGGGCCCCGGGAGCCGATGGGTTGCACCGAGTTTGCAAAAAATTGCCTGTGTATTTTTTTTCACCCATTTCAAGGACCCTTTGAGAGATGCAACTTGGCTAACACATGACCTTAAAACCCATTTCCAGAACAGCATGTGTGCCAGGAACAACTGCTCTCCTCTTCTCCGGGGGTTTGGGGGCTTTGAGCAAACCCCTGGAGAATCGAAGAAGAGAAGGGCAGTTTGTCTATCCAAAGGCTTCATTTTGTCTCTCCCATTCCTGATGCAGCACAGGGGAAAGACGAGCCACGTCACCCTTCTCCCAAGGTAGGTTTTAATTAAACCGTTGCATTTTCTTCCCTGTTGGAGACAAACACCTTGGATTTTGCAACTGGGACTGACTGGAAAGTGCAGCTCCCAGTTTTCTGATAGCCTTCTGATCATCAGCCAAAAGGAGCAAATGAAATAAATGCCCTTACAAAGGCACTTAGGTTAGTCCTGCCGGCTCCTAACAGAACATGTATTTGTCTATCAAAATTCTGCATCTTCTAGAAGATCTTTAAACTTTCTGATGTCTGGACGTGAACAGTGAAAGGCTCCAGCCTTTTACCTATTGGCATAGAAAACTCCGTAGCTCTCACCCACTACCTATCCCCCACTGACACCACCTGCTCAACTTATTTCTGTTACCTCAAAGTAAGTGTGTGTGTGTGTGTGTGTAATACATATAATATGCACAAGGCTAATGGCAAGGAGCTTTTTGGAAATAGATCTCTTCATGGGAGATCTAATTTCATCAAAGCCTGTGGCTGCCCTCGGATACAAGAGGAGCATAGTACAAGTTTGGACTTGTGCTATGAGAAGGCTGCTTCTCATAGCATCAGAGGAGTGCATTTGCTCTGCAAAGAGTTTACCCACATAAAACCTCTTCCAACAAGGCTCTCGATGCCTCCCACTCCCAGAAACTCTAGTTGCATCCGAGTGCTCGGCTCTCCACAGCACCGGGCTCTACAAGACTGAAGGCTGCTATCAGCTGCACAGCTTTCATTGCCTTTGGAGACACCGTGTAGGTCACCAGAGTTTGTTTCTCCCTATAAAAATACACACCACTTTTACTGGGCCCCTGCTTGAGAGCACGCAGCAACCCTGCACGAGGGCAAGAAGAATCCCAGCTCCAACCGAAACTACATGGGGGAGTCTTATAGTTGTAGAAGATGCTATCATTACCCCAGACTGCTATATGCAGGCAAGACGCCCACGTCAGGACGGGGCTGTGTGAGTCCAGCCAAGTGTTCAGGGATGGAGTAGGATGCCGATACAAGGGCCATGAGCCAGAAATAACGATGGCGGGTGGAGGTCAGTCTGAAAGCCATGCAAGGTAAGAGGGAACCAGGCAGGGCTCGATGGGACCCAAGACTGAAGGCAAGGCAGGACCCAGAAAGATGCTGGAGCAGCCCGTTGCAGCTCCCTGGGGCACCCATCCGTGTCTGGAGTGGCGGAGGGGTCAGTGCCATGACAGACAGCAGTAGAGGCAGAGAGGGCAGCCCTAGATCTGCCCTCCGGTGCATGCATGTGGCCCATCTGCACCTGCCCTCCACCAGGCCCCATCCCTCCCTGCAGGGTATTTGGAGCACTCCCCTCTTATCTCCCCCCACCACTCCCAGCACCCCAGGCCATATAAACTCAGGGAGTCGTGCAGCAGCCACCTTCCCATCTCTACCGCTCGTAATTAGCACCCAGTGCAGGTAACGAGCATCAGGGAACCCTGACCCTGTTACTGAAGAGCAGCATGGC